AAGAGAGAAATTTCATTAAAACTGGTTTCGATGGTGAGCTGAATAGATTTGTCAAATGTTTATATGTTGCAGGTGATTTTTTGAATATCGATAAAGCTAAAACTTTTTCCTCGTTGCTAAATCTCTTTCCATTCACATTGATACCCACATTTTTTAACTGCATCTCCACAAAAAGTCTTTGGGCTTTCGATAATTTTTCAATTTTTTCAGCTACACAAATACATTTTTGGGCGTTCTTCAATTTCAGTAGTGTTACTAGGCGGGTCCTGGCGCAATTACCGACCGAGGTCGGTAATGCAGATTCCTACATTACCATAAATAGTATACTTTCAACTGCGTTAGAAGGGGTGTTCTGTTTTACCGACCGAGTTTAGTTGCGGCGGCCACCGCTAGATAGCGCCACTTTATTTTTGCACAATTTCAAACCCCTTGGAGGGAAATTTGAATTTTTATTTTCGAATTTTCAACTGCGTTAAAAGGGGTGTTCTACTTTACCGACCATTCTAATTACGGCTGCCTCCGACAGATGGCGCCACTTTATTTTTACACAATTTCAAACCCCTTGGAGGGAAATTTGAATTTTTATTTAATTTAAAGTCGCTTGGTAGGGGTATTTTGAATATCCCGCCAAAATTACCGACCGAACTTTATTGCGGCTGCCTCCTATAGAGGGCGCCACTTTATTTTGCTTAATTTAAAACCACTTGGCGGGATATTTGAATTTTTTTTATTAATTAACTTAAAGTCGCATTGGTGTGGGGTATTTGAATATCCCCGCCAAAATTACCCACCAAATTTAGTTGCAGCTGCTTCTCATAGATGGCGCTACTTTATTTTTTGATTAATTTAAAACTCTTTTGTTTGGATATTTCATTTTTTTTATTGTCAAGTTTAAAGATCCTTTTGATGGTTTTTTAAAAACAATTTTTGCAGTTGACATTAATAAACGGCATCATTGTTGGATTAAAAACCTTTAATGGTAAAATTAAATTTTTTATTTCCTAATTTCAAGTTTAATGTGCAGAGAAAATTTTATATTGAGCAATAAATTAGATAAAGATGAAAGTATATATTTCCCCTTAAACGCAAAATGCATTGCTTGAAAAATGTTATAATAAGCAATGTTATAATAAGTGTAAAATACGTAAGTAAAAAACCAAGTATTTTACTTCAAAAACTACCACTGACGCTTCACTTTTAAAAACTGATGATAATACTCTTAGATCCGTTTTTGACATATCGTATATTCCGATTCCTGAAATCCCTTTAAACATTGAACACACCCATCCCTGATATATAATTCCGTTCAATTATTAGATACTTTACAAGAAATCTTCTGATTGGCTTTTTCTATTAGTGAAAAATGATCGGCCAATCAGAAGATAGAAGCGCCTTTACTCTACAAGCCTTGTCATCACTCTTAACCTTTATACCATTTGTATTTGAACAGTGTTTTTAGCTGAGAAGAAAAGTGTGTTTGTGCTGTGAAGAAAAATCACAATGGTATGTATTATCTATTGAAATATATAAATTAATAAAAAAAAAAATATAAAAATCAAGATTTTTTTTATAATCCAGGAAAATCAGCAAAAATTGTGTAGTTGTGTCGACTGCAACTATTTTAGAACATTCGACCCAGAGTATTTAAATTCATATGCTCCAGGGCCACCTAAACAAAGTGTATATTGCTGTTGCCAAAAATGTCCAAAGGACCCTCGAATAAAAAAAACTCCCAATTTAAAATTACCTTCTTGCGCATAGCTAATGCCAACTGTAAGTAATTTTGTTTTTTGCCTTTTTTTTGCTTTAAATAGGTACTACAAATATTTTAATACAATAGGTGAAAAAGTTATATATATATTTTTTAATATTATAATTTTTTAAGTAATTACTAATTTATTGTATTTGTTGAATAGTTTACAAAGAAGTGAACAGTGATAGGAAAATATAAGCATTTATTATTTCATACATCTGTTAATTTAAACATTCTTTTTAAATTGTCACTTACAACGAAAAAAAAAAATTTCAAAGTGAGCTGAAAATTCTTCTTAACAATTATTTTAACATTTTATTTTTAATATACGAATATTCATCTATATAAAAGTGGAATTTTTGTTTATATTTGACAGTTTTCTAACTAAAAGATAAATTTTAATCTTTCTTCTTTAATTGAAATTATTCCTCTCAAATTGAAACAAATTTATACTAGAAAAAAGATTTTTGAGTTGTTTTTTGTTTTTCTGAACGCAGCTTCAAACTATTTAAAATGACGTTTAATAGAAAGTATGAAAGAGGAAAATCCTCTCAATTAGAAACGAAAAATTTAGTGTTAATATGTAATAGGAAAAAAATGCTGCAAAGAAAAGGAATCGTCTAAAATTGAGAGGATTTTTTTTCGGTGTAATTTAAAAAAAAATACTTGATAATAATATAATAATAATAATAATTTTCAGCCTCCAGAAGAAGAAGATGAAAAAGTCATCACAGAGGAAGTTGCTGTACAGGAAGCCAGAGAAAATACTCTAACTTTAAAAGAAAAGGTGAAAAATGTTGTGGACAATTTAAAATTGAGAAAATATCAAGAAAAATACAATCCGAGTGAGCCAGGCTTGTCAAAAAAAAGAAGACGCCCGACAAGGTGGGATAATCCTCCACAAAATCTATATATACCAACCCCAAAATCACTATGCCGAAAACAATCAAACATCTCAGAATCAACAATTCATCAGCCTTTTTCTCCGCTTTCTCCAAATCAAAATCGATCAATAGTAAACTCAAACTCATCATCACTGACTCCAACAATTCATCAACCTTTTTCTCCGCTTTCTCCAAATCAAAATCGATCAATAGTAAACTCAAACTCATCGTCACTGACTCCAACAATTCATCAACCTTTTTCTCCGCTTTCTCCAAATCAAAATCGATCAATAGTAAACTCAAACTCATCGTCACCAACTTCTCCAATTCATCAAACTTTTTCTCCGCTTTCTCCAAATCAAAATCGATCAATAGTAAACTCAAACTCATCGTCACCAACTTCTCCAATTTTTGAGCCCATTTCACCAATTCCTCCAACTCCAAGCCTGACTCATTCACCTACTCTTCGAAACAAAAAATATAAAACATTAACCTATTCCTCAGATTCTGAATCATCCTCATGCACATCAACCTCAGATTCAAAATCATCCTCATGCACATCAACCTCAGATTCACAATCATCCTCATGCACATCAACCTCAGATTCGGAATCATCCTTAGATTCAAATCATTATTCATCCACATCATAAAATGTTTGTTCAAAGAAAAGAATTTTGGTTTTTTATTTTAATATTGCTTAAAAAGTATTCATGAAAGTATTATTTGTTTGTTCAAAGAAAAGAATGTTTTTTTATTTTAATATTGCTTAAAAAGTATTCATAAAAGTATTACTTGTTTGTATTTTAGTTCATAAGTTTTTTTTATAAAAAAAAGAATTGTTTTTTTTGCTTTAATATTACTGAAAAAGTATTGTTTGTTTTGTATTTTAGTTTCAAAGTTTGTAAGAAAAGAATGTTTTTTTATTTTAATATTGCTTAAAAAGTATTCATGAAAGTATTATTTGTTTGTATTTTAGTTCCTAAGTTTTTTTATAAAAAAGAATTTCGTTTTTTTTTTGCTTTAATATTACTGAAAAAGTATTGTTTGTTTTGTATTTTAGTTTCAAAGTTTGTAAGAGAAGAATGTTTTTTTATTTTAATATTGCTTAAAAAGTATTCATGAAAGTATTATTTGTTTGTATTTTAGTTCCTAAGTTTTTTTTATAAAAAAGAATTTCGTTTTTTTTTTGCTTTAATATTACTGAAAAAGTATTGTTTGTTTTGTATTTTAGTTTCTAAGTTTGTAAGAAAAGAATGTTTTTTTATTTTAATATTGCTTAAAAATTTTTGTATTGTTTGTTTGTAAATTTTTATAAAGAAAATAATAATGCAACAAATTTAATGAATTCAAATTTTTGTTTTTGAATTTGGCGCCTTATAAAGTTAGTTCCTTTTTTCAACGCAGCAAGGTGCTCATATTGTCTGAGAGAACCGTAGTGGGGAGCAATGAATCTTGAAAATGCGTGAGTCAGGAACGTCATTCACTTTTCAGCAGCAGTCAGGTACAGTTCATAGTTGAAAAGTACATGTCTAATTTAATTTTGTTCAATACTTATAGTGAAACTTATATTTCAATAGATCTTAAATATGTTTCAGGATTAAAAGAAAATAAAAAAAAATTAAAAAGTTTACACCGAACTATGGAAGTGACAGTGAACCAGAACCAGACAGCCAGGAAGAAATAGAAATAGAAATGGTTGTGTATGATGAGTTTCATAACAATTCATATGAGGAGTCCGACAGTGATAATTCATTCAGTATTGATTATGATAGTAATGGATCTACTATCATTTTAAGTAGTGATGATGATGAACTGGAAGAAGAAGAAGAAGATGGTGAACATGAACACAACGATGATATTAACGATGGAGACTTAAGTGAAAATGAGGTTATGAACGACTTCAGTGATTATGATTTTCACATTAACGTCTACAACGAGTATTATGATGATGATGATGATGATGATGATGATGATGTTTTGAACATTCATATTAGTGACGAAGAGGTAAGATATTTATCAGAAAAAAAAATTATATAATTATTTTATAATGTTAATTAACTAAATATTTTTTAAAGATTTCAGAAATTCTAGCATGTCTCCCAGACATTGACACCATGTTGGGGGATTATGAATGTTTATCAGTGGATCAACCTCCATCAATTTTTCCAAACGATCACGACTCAACATGAGATAACATCATAATTCCATTTTCATTTTTTAATCAAAATTTAAAAAAAATTACATTTCCTTTGAAAGAAAAAAATAGATATATATATAAAAAATTTTTTTAAAGAGACAATTACAAGTTTTTCTAAAATTAAATTCCGAAAACTAACTTTATAATTTACAGATGCGTGCGCAGAGTAGTGGTCTCAAAGAGTGGGCTGTATATACACATGTGAGAGGGGATTTAACTATATATTGAGCTGTATTCAAACCGGAGCGGCATATTTCTGTTGCAGCGTTTCCAGCAAAAGAGCTTCTTCTTCTCTTGACAAATATTTTTCTTTCTGTTTCAGGTTTGTCTGATTTTTCTCTATCTGTTACAGTATTTTGTTTTTTTCTTTCTGTTTCAGGATTTCCTGTTTCTTTTTTCTGTTTCAGGATTTTCTTTTTTTCTCTTTCTGTTTCAGGATTTTCTTTTTTTCTCTTTCTGTTTCAGGATACTTATTGAGTTATGTTTCAGTATTTTCTGTTTTTTTCTCTTTCTGTTTCATTATTTCCTGTTTGTTTCTCTTTCTGTTACAGTATTATCTGTTTTTTCTTTCTTTCTGTTTCAGGATACTTATCGAGTTGTAGGTTATATTTTCTTTTTTTCTCTTTCTGTTTCAGGATCGTTTTCGGGTTGTAGGTTATATTTTCTCTTTCTGTTACAGTATTTTCTGTTTTTTTCTTTCTGTTTCAGGATTTCCTGTTTCTTTTTTCTGTTTCTGTTTCAGGATTTTCTTTTTTTCTCTTTCTGTTTCAGGATTTTCTTTTTTTTTCTCTTTCTGTTTCAGGATTTTCTTTTTTTTCTCTCTTTCTGTTTCAGAATTTTCTTTTTTTCTCTCTTTCTGTTTAAGGTTTTTTTTTTTTCTCTTTCTGTTTCAGGATACTTATTGAGTTATGTTTCAGTATTTTCTGTTTTTTCTCTTTCTGTTTCAGGATTTTCTGTTTCTGTTTCTGTTTCAGGATTTTATGTCTCTTTATTCTCTTTCTGTTGCAGGTTCATTTTGAGTTTTGTTTTAGGTTATATTTTCTTTTTCTGTTTCAGAATACTTATTGAATTATGTTTCAGTATTTTCTGTTTTTTCTCTTTCTGTTTCAGGATTTTATGTTTCTTTATTCTCTTTCTGTTACAGGTTCATTTTGAGTTTTGTTTTAGGTTATATTTTCTTTTTCTGTTTCAGGATTTTATTCAACGACTAAGCAGTTATGGATTTGGAAAAAGTCAACGCAGTTGGACGATTGGACGGTTTCCTACCAACAAAGCCGCTATCAGAATTAGATTCTAATGGTCGATATGTTGTGACCAAAATGAAGAAAGTTCAAACGAAATACGGACCTAGGATTATTGTAGAGCTTGATGCTAATTTCGTGACATACCTTCCATCCCGATTAGCAAAACATTTTGATGAGGAAGGGTCCAACAGCCTTAAACTGATGCAGGAGGCTGTATCAACTAAAAACCTGCAACTTCAATATCTTGGAGGACCATATAACAACGTTCAATTTAAATTATTAAAATGAAAAATAATGTTTTAAGATATGGATAAGAAAAAAAAATGTATTAAAAAAAGATACAATAAACATGATTTTGTTGGTAATTATATGTTTTCAAAAGAATTTTCTTACCTTCAATAACTAATTTTAAGTAAAATAAGATTTTTTTAAATTATTAGGGTTTTAAAAATATTTATTTAGTATAAAAATTAAGTATAATTAAAGGTTAGGTTTTTTGAAATTATAATACATTGTTTAAATTCAAATTATTTTAATTTATTTTAAGAAAAAACTTATAATATTTACAAAAAAGTGTCACAATTTTCATAAAACGATTTCAAAGTAGAATCAACTTCATCTACTCCTTTAACGACAACATTTACATATTGGTTTAGAGGGTTTAAAAACCATTCTCGAAGAAGTTTAACATTTTTTGCAGCACAATTTTCTTTATGTAGAGTATGATGTTTACATGTTGTTGTTAACAATTTCGTTTCGAGTTTTTTTAACGATGGACAGTCCAAATCTTCTAAATTAACTACATTTAGTACATATGACTCTAGCCATGTCTTTTTTCTAATCCTTTAACGTAGATGGCTTTAGAACCTAGCAATATTCCTTGTAGAATGGAACGAAGTTCATCGTATGGGATGTCTCCAGCAGTCCAATTAATTCCATGATAATTATGTGTCAACCAAAGGTTTTCACTTTTATAACGATCAGGCAGCGAATTCCAAAATTTTAATAGTTTTATTTTATTATTATCGGCAGGTAATACGTATGGAACCATCCATTCAAGTTTATTTATAAAAATTTTGAATTCTTCATCACCGCCTTGTCCTGTTTGAATTATAGCATTCATATCAGAACGTGCTCTTGTTAAAATAAGTTCATGTTTAGCATTAATAATAATTTTTTTATAATCTTCAGCAAAACCAAAAATCATGCTAAGTGGTATTGTGACATCAAAATAGCCATTTTCTAATACAAGTCTTACATCAGCTGTCATTCTTGAATATCCAGCATTTTCAATAAAGTTTAGCTGAGTAGGTGTTTGTGAGACTTAATTTTTCATAATTGTAGTATGTCCAACGTATTTGCATCGATCTATTTCAATTCCATTTAATTCATATCGAATTTCGTCAAACAAAAAACATACAGCATTATTGCTTAAATGTACATTTTCTGTAAGAGTAATTCCATCATTTTTAGCTAATCTACCAAAAATGTGTAATGAACTTTTACTCGGTAAAATGCATAAATCTTGATGTTGTACTGCAATTCGAATTTCATCACTATTATTGAAAGATGAAGATCCATATGGTTGATGAGCATGAATTTCATAATGAGCTATGGACTCATCAAAATTTACTGCTGCTGGAATGTTGAGAAGTTCGTCCATTTTTATTGCAACAGCACCCAAAAAATATATAGATTATTCAAAATGGTTTTCATCCAGATAGTATATATATTAAAAAACACAGGAATATACTGGATTATTACAGATTTATTTTTTTATTTGAAAAAATAAACCAGACGTTTCGACACCAACGTTGGCGTCCTCTTCAGTGATACATTAAAAAAACTGTTGAAACAAAAAAATTGTTATTATTTAATATTTAATTTTTGATGGTTCTAACCTCAAAAATTTTTAAATACAAAAAACATATTAACTGAAACACTCTCAATTTCTTACCATAATTATAATATTCATAAATTCAACAAATAAACTAAAAAAACATGTTCTCATAGAAATGAGACATGTTTAATTAATAAAAATTACATTTTATCAAAAATTTTGTTGTTTCAAACGTCACAAAAATTTCAGACAATATTCAAATACAACCTTAAGCCACACACATTACTTTGTCATCCTTTATAAATTAAGTCCACCTTGCAAGTGAGGAGTTTCACAGACAAAATTAGCGCGTAAATTTAAATTTCTTTTTACAAATTCAAACCTCGAATTTAATTTAATCCCAATCCTAAAATATCATACACAAACATCCTTCAAAAAAGGTTATTTTTCTCAATTATATAAATTTGTAATTGTTTGATTACAAATTCAAAGATAATTTACAAGTCCTTCTAGGGATTTATTTAAAGTGAAAATGTCAGATTTCAAATTGATTGCACGGTCACTTTCTTTTTTGATATATAACATCTCCAAATTTATATTACAAATTATATTACAAATTTATAATACAAAATAAAAAATATTTATATTTACAAATTTATATAATTGAGAAAAAATAACCTTTTTTGAAGGATGTTTGTGTATGATATTTTAGGATTGGGATTAAATTAAATTCGAGGTTTGAATTTGTAAAAAGAAATTTGAATTTACGCGCTAATTTTGTCTGTGAAACTCCTCACTTGCAAGGTGGACTTAATTTATAAAGGATGACAAAGTAATGTGTGTGGCTTAAGGTTGTATTTGAATATTGTCTGAAATTTTTGTGACGTTTGAAACAACAAAATTTTTGATAAAATGTAATTTTTATTAATTAAACATGTCTCATTTCTATGAGAACATGTTTTTTTAGTTTATTTGTTGAATTTATGAATATTATAATTATGGTAAGAAATTGAGAGTGTTTCAGTTAATATGTTTTTTGTATTTAAAAATTTTTGAGGTTAGAACCATCAAAAATTAAATATTAAATAATAACAATTTTTTTGTTTCAACAGTTTTTTTAATGTATTACTGAAGAGGACGCCAAAGTTGGTGTCGAAACGTCTGGTTTATTTTTTCAAATAAAAAAATAAATCTGTAATAATCCAGTATATTCCTGTGTTTTTTAATAAATATATAGATTAATTGTCCTGTTGCCGTTTTCCTTGAGGAATAACTCTTAGTCCTAGTTCTTGAAGAAAGCGACGATTCTGAGGTGTTAACACCTTGTGAGATTCGTTTAGACTGATCTGACTCTTGCATGTTGGCTGACTTTTATAGTTTCCACTAACAACAGCTTTTTGATTATAAACGATTCCCATTACAATGACTTTATATGCAATCGAATCGTTATAGTTTCTCCTCTAAAATTTATTAAATCACTGTCCTGATCAACAATTCGCAGCTGTATATTATGTATTGTCTTGGTGGCAATCGGAAGATAAATGACGTGTGCAGGCACTTCCATAATCTTATATCCTGGTGGAACTCTGGGGAAAAATTAATGGATAGTGTGGACTTTTTGGTTATTTATGTAAGCTCCAGATGTAATATTACACTCAATTCGAACTGAATTGACCTTTAAAATAGCTACAGGTAAATCAGAAGTATGTGCTCTGTGAGGTGCTAGATGCTGCGATGTAAATCCTAACAATTTACCAAACGAGTCAATAGGTTTAAAATTAATTGGTAAATTTGATTTAACTACACTGTGCAATGTATTATTATTTGGTTTTATACTAATGACAGTTCCAATTTCTATAGAATTTTGTATATAGGATTCAATGTCTTTAATTTCATAACTTCCAGTTGGAATATCAATTACTTGATTTCCAACGTAAAACTTGTTATTTCCTTTATCAATATTGGGAATTGAATTAAAAGTCAACAATTCAACAAGACCAAGTACATAACTATTATTTGAATTTAGTTCTATTGGAGGGAAATATTCAGCTTCAAGAACTGAAGAATTTCACGTTAACGTTAAAGTAAATGAATCACTCATGTTGCTATCAGATTTTATACTGAAAGCTTACGATAGTTACACACTTTTATATAGGTTAAAACTACTCTTAATATTTAGTTGATTACATAAAAATTTTAGACACAAGTGTCCACACACATATGTATCATAATTTTGATGTCTTTCATGATTATATTTTATTAAGCTACCATCACCTAGATAAATGACTAGATCTGTTGGTGGAGCAAGGTTGCCGAAACTGTCAAAATACATGGTTTCATTTCTAAATTTTTTATATGCTACCCAATGTGTTCCTGAACCTTCTTTATTATCAAGATTAATTATTCCTGATTCATATAGATGAGGACCGCTGATAGGTAGTTCATTTCGCATAAAAACACCACGAAAACGAGGTATTTTGACAGCTTTAGCATATCTTATTAGATCAAAATCAGTTAATGGACGGTGAGGTAGCTTCACTGCAAGTTTTTTTTACTTTTGTAGGTACAGGAAGAATTCTAGGTGATAAAACTTTGGATTTACCACCAACATTTTTTATTGCTTTTCGTGCACCAATCATAGCTGCTCGAATTGTTTCTTAAGCATTATTACTAGGAATCATGCTTTTTCGCGCAGCGTCAACAATTTTCCTTAATGCTATCCGTTTCTTCTTACACATTGTTTTCCTTTTTTTCTTTCTTATAGATGACTTTCTTTTTCTTCTTCTTTTCATCCCCATACCTAATTTTGATTTAGTTTTCATGGTTCCAGAAATAGCTAAAGCAGCTGCTCTTTCACCTAAACTAGAATCACTAGCTTTAACACGTTGCCAAGCTTTCTTAGCTAATACTTTATTTGCCTCGTTTCTAGCTTGAATATTTTCACGATTTTGTGAATATGCAATATCGTGTTGTTTACAAGCAGCGTCTAACGGATTAATTCCTTGATCGCCACGAGACAAACGCTTTGCCAACTTTGTACCAGAGCCACAGAATTGGTAACCTGGCAAATGTAACTCAAACGGTAAACTATTGATAATACGATTAATTAAACCTTTTTCTTGACAGCGACCTTTTTTCACATCCTTATGCAGAATCATTCTTCACTCTACAAAGGTTGGTGTGAGACTGACGAAATGAATATAAAAGCTTGGTATTTATAGCTTTTAGGGCAGTTACTGTCAAGATGCAGTTCACGAAACAACCTGTCGCACTGCCAATCTCTAGTATAGATGTTGAAACGAATGAAAAAAAGGTTAAACGTCACGGTAGTCTGTTTTCAGACAGCATTCGAGCAGTTTTCTGTGGCCCCTCAAATTGTGGTAAAACAAATGCTCTTCTTTCCCTAATAATACATCTAAATGGTCTAAGTTTTGAAAATATTTACCTCTACTCTAAATCTCTACAGCAACCGAAATATAAATTTTTAGAAAATGTAATAAAAAATGTAGATGGTGTTGAGTATTTCCCATTTAGTGAACATGAAGAAGTAGTATCTCCAAAAGATGCTAAAGCAAATTCAATTTTTGTTTTTGATGACATTGCTTGTGAAAAGCAAGATAACGTTAGAGCTTTCTTTTGTATGGGTAGACATGTAAACGTTGACAGTTTCTATTTATGTCAAACGTATGCTCGTATTCCTAAACATCTAGTTCGAGATAATGTTAATTTATTGGTTTTATTTAGTCAAGATGAAAAGAATCTAAAACATGTATATGAAGATCATGTTAATACAGATATGAGTTATACTCAATTCCGCGATTTATGTTCAGAATGTTGGAAATCTGATAAATATGGTTTTGTTGTTATTGACAAAGACCGTAATTTTAATGAGGGAAGATATAGAAGAGGATTTGATTGTTTTATTACACTATAAATACTACAAGTTTACTGAATTTTTAATTAGTATAGTTTATCTTGTTACAAAGAAAACATGTATCGAAAAGAGCAAGAAACACTTCGTCAAATAGCAAAAGCAAGTGATGCTATTAGACGAAAACATCGTTTACTCAAAATGGGTAAAGAGGCTGCAGAAACAGTATTAAAAGAAACTCTTCAACCAATAGTAGCACCTCTGGAAAAGTTGGTTAAAGTAACTGACATACCTTTCAAAAATATTAAAAAAGAAAAAGTTAAAAAGGAGGAAAATGATTTTTCTTTCTCAACTGCTGTTGATGAGGAGGAGGAATTTGATAAAACACTACTTAATGACACTCTACTTGATAAAAGCAACAAGTTTGAAGAAGAAGAAGATGAACTTAATTATGGAAATTTGAAAAATAAATTTATTCAATTATTGAATAAAAACAGAAAAAAATATTTAGACATGGTTTATGGAGTACGTAAGCTTCCTAATGGTTCTTTTATAATTGGTGATACACCAGTTGATTTAGAAGGTTCACATACTCAACTTGCTGGAAAGAAAAAATATTTAAAAACTGCTGGGTTGCTTGAACTTTTATTTAGACAAGAACCTAATCATGCATTAATAAGTTCAGATGATTTGGAAAATTATAAAGAAATTCTTGTAACTACAAATGCACACCGAAATAATTATAGTTCCAGTGAGCCTGTCAACACAAACAGGAGTTCTAAATGCATTGATATTATTGCAAAACTTTTTAAGAGTTTGGACATCCTTTGTCACGACCTACTGCAAGTCGTGGACAACCTGGACCTTCTGGAATTGGTTTCAAAATTACTTCAAGTGGACAATACGATATTGATAACAAAAGACTTTGCAACGTGCAAGACGCTGAAGAGCAACACGACGCAATAAATTTAAGACAAGTAAAACAAATTGTTAAAAACGAAATAAAAACTGTCTTTGCAGTTCCATCATCTTCAAGATCAGCTATTGATGACTTGAATATTCTTATACAATCTATCGAGGAAAGAATTAACGAAAAACTTAAGCAGATTGAAACTGATTTACAACACGAATTACCTCTTCAAAACGCTAAATATATTGCTAAATTGGATTCACGTTTAACAAACCTTGAAAATGGACGATGAAAAGTTAACTGTTGTTAAAGAGTTGCATAGACAGGCTAGAAAAAATTATCCTCGTCGAAAAGTTCAAATGCGTGGCATCGACGAAACCTGGCAAGCAGATTTGGTTGAAATGATACCCTATTCTTATTCTAATAAAGGTTTCAAATACATGCTCACAGTTATAGACATATTTTCCAAATATGCCTGGGCTGTAGCTGTAAAGAGTAAGAATGGAAAGGATATTTCTCTAGCCATGAAAACTATTCTAAAACAAGGCAGAATTCCAAAAAATCTGCATACTGATAGAGGCAAATAATTTTACAATTCTGAATTCAAGAGTTTAATGCAAGAATTTAACATTAATCTCTATTCAACTTTCAGTAACTTGAAAGCATCAATTGTTGAAAGATTTAATCGCACTCTGAAAAATATGATGTGGCCTGAATTCAGCTTACAGGGCAATTACAAATGAATAAATCTTTTACCTACGCTCATATCAAAGTACAATAGCACAATTTTGTATTCGTCGAGATAGGAAGCTAATTTGTCCAATGATGATGCCATAAATTTGAAAGAATCAATAAATCGAAAGTTGATAATACTACCTTTAATATTTTTAGTAAAGCTGATATACTTTTCTTTGTTTATTGGAAGCAGATCAACTTTTCCTTCAAATTCAGTAGCAATACTTTCAATAATGAAGTGCGCGTCACAACCACTGAGGTTGTGAAAAACAACAGGTATGGTCGGTGATTCGTGGTAGTTTACATTACAATCTTGATGCGCGGCGCCCCGATATTCCCCAGTTAGATGATTATGATCTCTTACTTTTACATCCCCATTCGCGATTTTCTTATTGCAAATATGACATGTATTGTCATTTCTAAAATCTGTCAATTGTTCTAGAGTTAGTGGTTGCATTGGCTTAAAATTTTTAAATATAGGCTCTAGATTTTCTTGCAAGTTTTTCAACTCTTTAGAAAACCATAGGGCGGGATTTTCTTCATCTTTTGGAGACGCTTTGTATAAAGACAACGAGTTATTAAAACCACACTTTAAGTAGTATCCAATACTAAGCAATTTATGATTTTGAAAGACCTCGGTGTTGCTTGGCTCTTGTTGTTTTTCAGCAGGAATCAAAAGGCTTTCACAGTCAGCATAAATAATGAAAGGTACACGTTCCTTGTTTTGAAAATTTTTGAATTCAACAAAATTTTTACCTTGTTGTGGTAGCCTAATTCTAGTATCATTCATTTTTCTGCATGTTTCTTCATGTTCAGTGAGTTTCAATTCATCTCCAAAGTAATGAAGACAACGGTCACAGATGTACTTTTTACTTTTTTTCTTCGACAATTGTGAACCAACAAGTTTTGATAAGTCTTTTATCCAGACATAGTGGTAGTTGAAAGAGATGATAGGTAATTCATCATTATCATCATCATCCTCATCTATGTAATGGTCTTCAATTCGCAAAAGGTTTAAGTGGCAAACCTTTTTCTGTGAGGTAAGATGTAATAGGTAGACATTAAAATTCTTATTTTTCCTTGAAAGTCCGTACACGTTGATTGAGATATTATTTAGAGCCTCAAATTTTGAAATATCTTTGAGAGAAACAGGGAACTCAATTCCTGTGAAATTTAGTTCATTCTCATATTGGATATACTTTGAAACGCGATTTGAATCTCTTATTGGTTCATACAAAGCTGATAATATGGCCCATTTAAAACATTTATTATCTGTGTTCTGAATGTTGACACAAGCATGTTTCTTTTTAATAGCAAGGGGTAAATCAATATAAGAACCTGCACGCATGGGATTGTACGTGTTAATGTTAACCTCCAACCTATGAATGGAATCAAGTTTCCAATTAGAGTCTTTCTCTTGGAATTCTTCAATCCTTTTTAAAGTTGGTTGTTTGACATTAACATTGGGTGTTTTCGGAAGATAAACGGTTTACAATCTGGATTACTCCAGTGGTGCTCAAACATATGGACACGTAGTTTCTGATTTATTTTTCAGTAAAATGTTGTTAGTGGCTAATTCAATGAGAACTTCAAATTGATTGGTTCAAAAGTAGCAAATTGTAGGAACTTGTGAAACGTACTTAAGGTTATAGGAAAAATGTGTTAAAACCTAACCTATTTTTTAGATATTTTTATAAAATTCCCTAGAAAATTATTTTTAAAGCAGTTGGAGTGTAATCTGACTTTGAAGGAAGATTAGATATTTAGATTAATAGATAGACCAGAGGAGTTTAAAAATGGCTGCAGGTAATTTTTATAATCTGATTAAAACTATATAAATAAACAATTTTAACAATTAATTAATAACATTTACAAAACCAAATTTTATTTAGAATTTTAACATTTTACATGTATTTGTTTATTTGAATTTTTGTCTGAAAAATTTTAAAAGTTGGTTTTTTCCTAACGTGCTTGAATAACCAAATGTTGTATAAAGGTTAACTCTTCTCAAAAAGCGTAAAAAATTTTATTTCTCACACATTTAAAATGTTTAAATATATTTATATAAGAAAATTATAATGAACAGGGAATAAAGGTATCCAGACAAGAAGTCGAAAACAAAAAATTAAAAAAAAATAGTTTCTTTTTTGATTTTTTTATATTTTTTCCCGCGTCAAAAGTCCAAAGAAATTAAAAATTTAATGAAAAAATTTTGATATACAAATTTAAATGATTTCAATGAAATTGAAATTGGCTCTTTTTTGATGACTATTTGATGACTATCCCTATTAAAAATTTACACGTGTAATTACACGTGTAGATTTGGCCACATGTAATTACACGTGTAATTTGTACTTTGATACTTTTTCAAACATTTCTAGAATTATTACACGTGTAATTACACGTGTATTTTGAACTTTGAAATTTTTTCAATAATTTCTAGAATTATTACACGTGTATTTGGAACTTTGAAATTTTTTTAACAATTTCGAGAATTGTTACACGTGTAATTACACGTGTATTTGGAACTTTGATACTTTTTCAAAAATTTCTAGAATTATTACACGTGTAATTACACGTGTATTTGGAACTTTGAAATTTTTTCAAACATTTCTAGAATTATTACACGTGTAATTACACGTGTATTTTGAACTTTGAAATTTTTTCAATAATTTCGACAATTGTTACACGTGTAATTACACGTGTAATAATTCTAGAAATGTTAGAAAAATTTCAAAGTTCAAAATACACGTGTAATTACACGTGTAATAATTCTAGAAATGTTTGAAAAAGTATCAAAGTACAAATCACACGTGTAATTACATGTGGCCAAATCTACACGTGCAATTACACGTGTAAATTTTTAATGAATTCAAAGTAGGTAAACTTAACATATTTTAAATTTCTAAAAATAATTAAATTCTTCGAGTAATTTAATTGGAATTATATTAAAGAAAATAATTGAATCTTTTAAAAGAATTTTATCAAAATTTTTAAAAAACAATTTAATTTCTTGTGTAAAATTTTATTATTTATGTAACTAATAAAAATCCTGTGATTTTAACATTAACGTTTTGAATTCCGATTTTATAGAGTAAAAAATAAAAAATGTGTCTTTTTCACATGTTTCGTTATATACTTCTAACGTTTTTATTTGTTTTAGATTTTTTGACTTTCAACATTTTTATTTTGGATTTTTTATACTTTGGACTTTTTTTCTTGGTTTTTTCGGTCTGAATTTTTTGAAATAGACTTTTTATCCTGTAATCATTTTAGTTGTTTACAAAAATGAGTCAAATTTCATGTTGTTTAAAGTTTATTCCCAATCAGCAAATTTGATACTACATTTTGTAAAAAGTGTATATATATTTAAATCAAAAGTATTATTTATAAATTGATTATAAATTAGTAGACAAGTTGACAAAAGGGTATAGCCGTATAAGTATAGAAAAAGTATCAACGCATTTATATTTATTCAAATTTAGACATATATTCGTATCCACTTAAAATTACCCTTCTGCACGGAGAAAAATGAGTTTGCTATTAGGGTAAACGTACCAATTATCGAGGATGGTTCCTGTTGTCGAGTAAACAAACTTTGAATGTTATTTAAACAGTGTAGCACATTGTAAATGAAAAAAAGTAATAAATATTAATTTTTTAAGCGTTATAAATATGAAAAAAATATATTAATATTATATAAACAAACAAATGAGACATTTTAGACAATATTTTTTGGTTATTACCATGGTAACATCGACAAATGGAACACCCTCGGCAATTGGTACACTTACCCTATATGGATAGCTAAATTTAGTTATACATCAGTTAATGATTAGCTGTCGCAGAAAAAAAATTAGCTACAATGAAAAAAATTATTTGATTCAATTATTTCATACAAATAATTCATATATTTCACTAAATTTATAGGCAATTTGATACTAATAAAAATAATTTGACGCAATTAATTAATTTTATAGCTTCAAGTAAACTATAATATTTAATGGGAATATTGTATTATTTAATGCTAATAAAGTATTATATATATAATTTTGTCGAAATTCGACAATATTCTGAAGCAAATTTTTATATTGGTTGAATTAAATTAGCAAAAAGAAAAAGAAAATTTTAAAAACAAGATATTTTTTATCCTATCAACAAACGTTTTTCTAGTTTCGTAAATAGTAGAGAAAGACTTCCTAAAAGGTTTGAGAAAGATGCAAAGTAATCAGAAAAATAAAAAAAAAAACTTTTAATTCGATGAACTTCTAGCCAAAAACAAATACGCAAAATTTTAAAGACAGAAAATTTTTACCTCCATCAGCAAAGGTTTTTCTAGTTTCGTATCAAGTTGGAAAAGATTTTTTTAATAGGTTTAAGGCGGAAGCAAAGAAATCAGACGATATTCTGAAAAACTAATTCCTGTCTTTAAAAATATTGAATTTTCGAATTTTTTTTTGACTAAGTTAATCGAATGTTAAAATTTTTTCAGAAAATCTCCGCATTTCTTTGCTCCCTCCTAAAACCATTTGGAAAATCTTTTGATACTTGATACGAAACTGGAAAAACTTTAGTGGCCTAAGAAAAAATTTCCTGTCTCCAAAAATGTCGAATTTTCCTATTTTGTTTGGCTAAGTTGATTGAATGTCAAAATTTTTTCAGAAAATCTTCGCTTTTCTTTGCTCCCTCCTCAAACCTTTTGGAAAATATTTTGATACTTGATACGAAACTGGAAAAACTTTAGTTGCCTAAGAAAAAAATTTCCTGTCTCTAAAAATTTCGAATTTTTGTATTTTTCTGGCTAAGTTGATTGAATGTCAAAATTTTATCAGATAATCTTCACTTTTCCTTGCTCCCTCCTCAAACCTTTTGGAAAATCTTTTGATACTTGATACGAAACTGGAAAAACTTTAGTGGCCTAAGAAAAAAATTTCCTGTCTCTAAAAATTTTGAATTTTCTATTTTTTTTTTGCTAAGTTCATTGAAAGTCAAAATTTTTTCAGAAAATCTTCACTTTTCCTTGCTCCCTCCTCAAACCTTTTGGAAAATCTTTTGATACTTGATACGAAACTGGAAAAACTTTAGTTGTCTAAGAAAAAATTTCCTGTCTCCAAAAATGTCGAATTTTCCTATTTTTTTGGCTAAGTTGATTGAATGTCAAAATTTTATCAGATAATCTTCACTTTTCCTTGCTCCCTCCTCAAACCTTTTGGAAAATCTTTTGATACTTGATACGAAACTGGAAAAACTTTAGTGGCCAAAGAAAAAAATTTCCTGTCTCTAAAAATTTCGAATTTTCTATTTTTTTTTGGCTAAGTTCATTCAATGTCAAAATTTTTTCAGAAAATCTTCACTTTTCTTTGCTCCCTCCTCAAACCTTTTGGAAAATCTTTTGATACTTGATACGAAACTGGAAAAACTTTAGTTGCCTAAGAAAAAAATTTCCTGTCTCTAAAAATTTCGAATTTTTGTATTTTTTTGGCTAAGTTGATTGAATGTCTAAATTTTATCAGATAATCTTTACTTTTCTTTGCTCCCTCCTCAAACCTTTTCAAAAATCTTTTGATACTTGATACGAAACTGGAAAAACTTTAGTGGCCAAAGAAAAAAATTTCCTGTCTCTAAAAATTTCGAATTTTCTATTTTTTTTTGGCTAAGTTCATTCAATGTCAAAATTTTTTCAGAAAATCTTCACTTTTCTTTGCTCCCTCCTCAAACCTTTTGGAAAATCTTTTGATACTTGATACGAAACTGGAAAAACTTCAGTTGCCTAAGAAAAAAATTTCCTGTCTCTAAAAATTTCGAATTTTCTATTTTTTTTTTGGCTAAGTTGATTGAAAGTCAAAATTTTTTCAGAAAATCTTCACTTTTCCTTGCTCCCTCCTCAAACCTTTTGGAAAATCTTTTGATACTTGATACGAAACTGGAAAAACTTCAGTTGCCTAAGAAAAAAATTTCCTGTCTCTAAAAATTTCGAATTTTTGTAATTTTTTGGCTAAGTTGATTAAATGTCAAAATTTTATCAGATAATCTTCACTTTTCCTTGCTCCCTCCTCAAACCTTTTGGAAAATCTTTTGATACTTGATACGAAACTGGAAAAACTTTAGTTGCCTAAGAAAAAAATTTCCTGTCTCTAAAAATTTCGAATTTTTGTATTTTTTTGGCTAAGTTGATTGAATGTCTAAATTTTATCAGATAATCTTTACTTTTCTTTGCTCCCTCCTCAAACCTTTTCAAAAATCTTTTGATACTTGATACGAAACTGAAAAAACTTTAGTGGCCAAAGAAAAAAATTTCCTGTCTCTAAAAATTTCGAATTTTCTATTTTTTTTGGCTAAGTTCATTCA